GGTCCGTGGCCATTTTTCCGCCCCTGACACGTGGTCCGCGGCCATTTTCCGCCCCTGACACGTGGTCCGCGGCCATTTTTCCGCCCCTGACACGTGGTCCGTGGCCATTTTTCCACCCGACACGTGGTCCGCAGCCATTTTCCACCCCTGACATGTGGTCCGCGGCCATTTTTCCGCCCCTGACATGTGGTCCGTGCCATTTTCCGCCCTTGACACGTGGTCGTAGGGAGGGGGACTCTCCCTCTAAGCAATAGCCGCCTCCCTGTCCTCCACGCCAGAACGGATTAACGGTAATTACATTGAACCTTATGGGGAAATTTCCTTCGGGTTGCGACCAATTCGGGGTGCGACCAGAGTCACAGAACGAATTAAATTCGTAACCCGAGGTTCCACTGTATTTTCACAAAAATGTATTATTGTCCTCCACGCCAGAACGGATTAACGGTAATTACATTGAACCTTATGGGGAAATTTCCTTCGGGTTGCGACCAATTCGGGGTGCGACCAGAGTCACAGAACGAATTAAATTCGTAACCCGAGGTTCCACTGTATTTTCACAAAAATGTATTATCCTGAATTACTATCTTTATCCAATCCAAGCCTTCCTGGAACACTAGATTCCTCCAGTTCTCCAATTGTTGCATTCCAATAATTTATTACCAGTTTTACAAGCCTTTGTTGCATTATGCAATTCACCATAGAATTCCTCAGTCTCTTTCTTCTACATTTGTGTCTGTACTAAAGGAACATACTTGTATAACATTGATACTTCCCAGATATGATTCTGTTATTACTGAGCACATAATGCCCTTTTTCGATATCATAGTCACACCAATTCTTCATATGGAGTCATACCTTGAATGCTTTATCATGATATCACCTGAGTTAAAGTAGCTCATTTTGGTCCATCCAAGTTCATGTCTTCAACAAACTTTCTACTGGATATAATTTGTTTCCATTTAAGAATTTCCTGTTTTCTTTTAATCATGCTTCTCATTTCCTCTGGCTGCATCTGCCCTTGTAAGGTAAGGAAGTATTCTTTTAAGTACTGGCACCATCTGTCATGGCGGGGGTGGGGGCTCAGATTTAGAGTCCAAAGACGAAGAAAAGCAGTCAGTTCCTGAAGTGGCCTTGGAGGATGAGCAGTCAGCTCTGGGGTCACTGGATGAACAGCTGCCTGAGCAGGCAGAGGAGGTGGGGCTGGCCAGCAATCAGTGGGGACAGCTGCTGCCGCTCATGGAAGATAAGGACTCAGAATTGCCACCCCCTCCCAAGGCAAGAACTTGGAGAGCAGAAAAAAGAGCAGAGCAGAGGAAGTCAGTAAGGTTACTTGCAAGAAAGAAGCCTTGCCCTCCAGGGCTGCTCTTATTTAAGAAGAGCTATGAGCTTGAGACTTGTGTTGGAAACAACTG